GGTCCCGGCCCCGCAGCTCCCGGGCCGCGTTTCCCACCCGCGTCCGTGATTTTGGGTGGGTTCCTCCGCCCCCGCTGCCTGGCGCGGGGCCGCTCGGTCTATGGAAGGCCGCGAGCCTGGCCGGTTTAGCACTCTGGCGACGTAAAAGCACTATTGATTTCTCACATTACTCCCCAAAACCCATCAGGCAGTGCTGCGAGGGGCTGAGCCGTGGGACCCGCGTTAGCTAAACTCCAGTTTCTTCACGGAGATGCATTTTTTATGGCTTGCTTACACTTAGACCCAAAATAATGTCTCATGGATTTCTTACGGAAAAATTACATGATCCAGTATATAATTATGTTCTACTGTAATGAGATCCTGTTCATTCCAAAATGATCTTGTCTTACATGGGCCATATCGGAGAAGTAGGTGAGCGTCTCGCAGCTGTCAGTGTAGGTGTCCTTACCAGAGCTAGATAGGAAAGTGTTGCTCGGTTCGTTTCACAGCTGAATTAGTGAACGTAGAAGCTAACGGATTTTTTTCAAATGTCACCTGGAAAGAACATAGCACAACAAGAAGCTGAACTTTTGTCTTCTACTTCTCCCCATCTTCTCACCCATCTTTTCCCCTTTCCCCCAGCAATCCCCTAATGTCTGGAAAATACTTTTTTTTTTAAGGGATTTAGTACTGTGACAGGAGTTAATCAGCTGTAAAAGCTTCTGGACTGGATTTTTTTATTCTTCCATTATTGATTTAGTATCTTGGTGAAACTCGTAATTCTCGTGATACGAAGAAAATGTGCTATGGCTTTTCAGAACACAGATTTGTATTCTCTCTTCCTTACGGAGTTGTTCATCTTCTCTTTTGAACACGTATCCAGTAACATTTTTTTCCCCAAAGCTTAGGCTAAAAGGCTTTAAGAGGCGAGGTCTGCAAACCCAACCTAGTTCACCTGACTGTCCCAGAGTTCAAGCACGGGCACGGCCAGGAAAGTTGGGCCACGTTGTGCCCATGTTTCCAGGCAACCGTCATGTTAATCAGGAGCATCCAACTGTGCTTGATTATATCTAGTACTTGAAGCAGAAAAGGAACGTAAAATAGTTACTCCGGGGAGCAGGCTCGCAAAGTTTTATTTGGCCGCCTGGCTTCAGTGTGTGATGTTTTGATAAGGGAGTATTCTGGTTTTCGTTGTTATCGATCTCCATGATAAAGACTGGGCAAATAGATTTTTCATGCCTGGGCTGGTAAATTTTCATGACAATTTTGCAAATCCAACTACGGACATTTTATGGTTTGGGAGCCTTCCTCTTTCTTTTATTTCTTATGAGTTTGTCTCTACAGCTTGTATTTTTTTTGCTAGCCATCAGAACCTGCTGAGCTATTTTGCCTTCTGCTCAATAGGCTGCTTTCTAGCTAGCTTAGGCATGTACTTAGTTACAGTTTCTATATGTGTGGATACTTTGGTTGTTTGATGTCAGTCAACAAAATCCTTCTACTTTCCTGCTTCATACCCTATTAACCTCACAAACACATCTATTTTGATTCACGGGCATTGAGATTGGCAAGTTTTGTATCCTTAGCTCCCCTCTTTCACGGTTTGAGACCACGACATGAACCCAAATCTTAGCTGATTTTCCTTGCTTTGCCATAGGTCTCGAAGCAGTCTCACGTGCTGTTCCTAGCGGTAAATTAACCCTCATGCAGGAAGGCGTAAGTTGCTGAGCACTTTGGTGTAGCGTGATTCGCACCTGGGAAGACAATTCCCATCTTGTACATTCAGGAAGATTATGTCACCACATCTGTTGTTAGGCAACCTAAAGAATGTGTTATTTCCTGAGTGACAAAACCCCAATGACCTCAGGAAGGTGGTCCTCAAAGGATTTAAGTAATCCACATTCAGTGGACTCCTTAAAGATTTCAAAGCTTCAAGAGTGAAAATAAAATTAAGATGTCATTGGCTAATGATTCTCTTTTGTTTGTTTGTTATCTAGATGAAAAAGGATTTTGATCTAAAACGTCGCATACCTTGCTATCAGTAAATTCTTTTAATTACTGCATTGCTTTATCCTTTCATAGGGTACTATGACAGAGCTTTTTCAGCTGTGTAACTCATTGAAATCAGCGAGATGCTGCCCTTGCGTTTTAATCAAGATGAACTTGAAAGGTGAACATTGTAATGGTAGAAATTATTTATAATTTGGTAATAAAAGTTTATGTCTAACACTCCAAATTTCATACATCTGCTATGCGCTGGCCTTGAGATATAGAACAATTGCAATTGCCTTTACATTTGGCCTTAGATGAAAGGTCATAAATTACAACGATAGAGTTCGTAGTCGTTCCCAGCTCACAAAATTTCCATATTAACATCTTCACCTCAAACATAAATGGTTACAAAGTTACAAAGAAAAGAGTTGTGTTGGCCTTTATCAACTGAACTTAATGATGGAAGTCGGTGGATCGTGTACTATTGCTAACTCTTAAACATAAAGCATCGCAGAATCCTTGTTCAGAGGACCTAATTAAAACTTTACAGTTAACTTAAAAATGAAATGGGATTTGACAGTCTCTATTTCTCTCTCTTTAATGCAATAAAAAACACTTCAAAGTTAGGAAGGTTTTTCTTTCCCAGCTACTTGAAATAAAAGCATTTCCATAGAGCGAGGTGGCTATGTAACACAGAATGTGTTAAAAGGAGTGTCCAATTTTTCTGTTTCTTGTGAAGTGCGCACCATTTATGTAAGTTAAATGCAGAAGAACAACAATCCACATGACAAAAGAATGTCTGTGGCAGATTTTGAATTCAGCCTAAATAATCCCTGGCTACAACCAGTAGATGAAAAAAAGAAGACTCATTAAACAGTCCTCACCTGAAAATTGTGTCAGAGAGGACAAACCCATTCCGGCCACAATCACAGCGTAGCCCATGATTTTAACAATCAACTTTGGTGCCTTCTTAGATTAGAAAGAAAAGAAAAAAAAAAAGAAAAAAAAAAGATTTGAAAATTATGCAATAAAATAAGAGGCCAAGAACGAGTTCCAAATCCAGGGAAACTTTTCTTGTTCAGAGCCTCTGAGAGTGTGGGAACAGAAGGAGGTGTCAGCCTCCATGGAACAGTGTCAAGATGGAGAAGCTCTGCAATTCAAGATTAGCACTGTTATTGCAGGGTTTCCTGAGGGCCCTGAAGTAAACACGGTATTACATTTCTGGAGTTTGAGAGGTGGAAGCTGAGATTCTGCTCCCACTGAAGCCGGTGGAAGTTTTGCTAATTACTTCTCTGTACTAAGGATGCCTCTCTAAATTATTGAAAATACACCTGAAATCTCAAAACAAATCCATCTCGATGAGCTGGTACCAAAAATATAACTGTTTGACTGATAGTTGTCACAGCTTGGTTTTAGAAACTTCTCGGCAATGGATCCCAGCTGCTGAACAATGTTAGCCCGCTGGCCTGATCCAAAACTCCTCCAGTGGATTCAGGCTAAGA